CTCAACTGTCCTCTGAACGTTTATTGGGCGACTCAAACCACAAATTGTCATCTCTCAAAGTGGTTCAAGAGGATGTGAGACTTTTTCTGAAAGGGAAACGCGTCTACATGACGACTTCACTGTGAAACAACAGAACACAAACCAGAATCATCTCTACACATCGCATCGTTACAGTTTAAACACTTTGTTAGGTCAAAAGTTTGCTAAAAACCAAAACAATCAACTATAATGGTTATTAGCAATTAGAACGTGTATTTTCTGCATCGTCTCACGTCAGAACAAAGCTAGCGGCATGACAGCATGTTGTCATGACAGGTGGGACTTCCTGCCTTGTTTTCTGCAACAATTTGGTGTCTGTAAGATATAAGATCTAAATGTCATGTTTGCTTTGTGGTCTTCACACTTTTACAGTCTTGAATATAAGCTGCAAAGAGAAGACAGCGCCCTGCTGCAGGTTGATGGTCCATCACCGCTTCTTAACACAAATGAAAACTAAACAAATATCCTTCAGAAGATGCATCACATCTGTTGGAATCACCGGTTAATACATACAGAAGTCTGAAAGAGTAGAATAACTTCATACTGAAATATTTACTATTCGTTTTCTATTTTCTTTGTTTATGGAAAAAGAGATGCTTCTAAATGCATGTTTTTTTCATTTTTACACCATTAATGAATCTCATATCAGATTAAAGGTACACCAGAGCAAAGTCAAGATAGACAATCAAGAAGCCAAGACATGAAAACAAAAGCAACAACTCAGCAAATATGTTGGAAAGAGGACAGATTTCCACAATTTAGGATAAATTGAGTAAAAGAAGTCAAGTTTCTGAAATGTTTGATGAATTTGGGGTTTTATCAACTGAAAGGAAAACTTGGAAGGCATTCATAATGTGGTGTGTGTTCAAGAAAGCATAATAATTTAATTAAACAACTTTGAAAAGACAGCTTTGCATTGTGTCTAGACAATGTGGTCGACAAGGGAAACATAAAAAGATGTCCCCATAAAGACGTCAACTGATTTCTAAATGTGGCCTAAACGTGGTTATGGTTGATCATGGTCTAACCAAGTATGACTTTCAACTGTTTTGTTGGCCTATTTTTTGTGTGGCATCAGTCAGCTGCAACAAAATGTGTTTTCTAGTTCAGCATCATTCTACGCTGATTAGATTTGACATCATTGTGAAGGCAAAATAGGTTTTGTCACCTCAGTCAGAGAAAGTGATGGCAACAGGTTGACTTTTTGAATAATCTGGTGGTGTGAGGCCTCTGGGTAAGCTGACCTGTTGATAAGTTAGCATATTCCTCAATTAGCTTAACTGCTTCCTCTAAGTGTCTTTGACTACTCTGCTGTAATTTAGTCACATGTTCAGTCCTGTTTTAAAAGAGAAAACAGTTCCTGAATATCTCTGGTGATCAGGAAGCTACGGAGCTAAACCAGAGTTTAACTTTTGTCTGTGGAACATAGAATGAAGGTGAAGGCTAAGGGTTATTAGCGCCCCTCTGAATGAATTTGCTCTGCCTTTAATCACAATTAAAGAAGACAGTGACGCTGCTAAAGAACAATATTGCTAAAGAACAATATTTTCTAAATTCTCTTGTTTCTGCCACTCTCCACCATTGTTTAGCCGTGGATAAATACAGCAATTGCTGACGTCTTCTTGTTGCTAAGTGTAGGTGTCAAAGATTTATAGACTCCCATTTTAAAAAAAAGAAAAAAAAAGACTGCCTTAATGTTTCATTAAAAGACAAAAGTAAGACAAAAACAAATTAATTCTTATACATTTTCTTAAAATTTATTTTTGGCTGCGAGTCCTTTTCACGGATGATTTTGGCCATCATGACAAAAACATCTGGACACCACTACGTATCAGTGATGTCATATAAATCATACATTTTCAAGCAAGACAAATGAAAAACATAATATACAAATGCATAAATAATAAGTACAATTTATACATACTTCCTGACCCCTGCAGG